CGCCTTCCCTATCGGGACGCCATGTGGAAACCGTCTCCGACTCGCGGTTGCACCTCCGTCACACCAGCCACCTCCCGCTCGTCGTCTACTCTCCTACACTACCACCAGCGACATGAAAGCATGCCTGCTTGTACGACGCGCGATGCGGTATGACAGGACTGCCCTCGACGGCCACAGACAGCCACCGAGAGGGTGACAAGGAGAGGAGGAAAGGCGAGAGGAATGAATCGAAGGGGCGAGGAGATATTCTCGATGGACAGAGGATGCCTCATTGCTTTCTGCACCTGGCGACACGACGAGCAATAGGATGGTGGTGCGCCTTGCTGCCCTCTCTCGCCACCTTTCCCCTTGTCCCGTCGCTCAAATCGCCGCTCTCTCGCCGTCAAAGTAATGCCGCTGACTTGTTGGGCATGATGCACAGGCCCGCCGGCAAGCATTCGCGCTCAATTGTTCTACTTCTCTCTCTTGTGGTCTAGGTCCGTGCGCGGCCCATATATGCAACCGACGCATCTGAGCCTATCTGAGAGCCATCGCCACGCAGAGGTGGTCAGGCATACCCCAACCCTGAACATGCACTGGTCAGCTGCGGGTACCGCTCGGTGCGTGTTAGGCATGGTGTTCGACAGGACGTTTCCCTTAAGAATAACCCTGCCTTAGGTCTTTGTACAGCACGCTTCCTCCAATGATTATCTGCAACCGACGAGTGCCTGTCGGCATACCCGAACGAATTACTGACATCGAATGCCCATTCAGTCCATCCTTCTCCTCCTAGCCGGCCTCCTCGAACAGCTCGCCAAGCTCGACCGGAAAGTTCAGATCGATGACCACCATCAGGTCGAGGAAATGGTCGAACTCAACGGTCGCCTGCATCCGCAAGATGAGGAACCTCGGCCTCGCCTCGCTGTGAAGCCGTCGCGAAGGTTATCGATGGCCACGCGAAGCAAATCAGCTGCCTTTATACTACGCGGATTGGTCGCGGTTGATTTGCGACTTCGCACATGCGTGTTTACGGTCAAAGCGCAAGTCACATAGTGTTATAGGTGTGACTCAACGTGATGAACGTCACATACATCCATGCGCTGATGCTCACTAGAATCTACTGCTCGATACCCCGGCTTCCTGTCCAACGTGCTCCTACTGGGCAAATGTATGGCATATGATATACTTGTATCGATTTACATGTTGTAACTACACCGCATACCTCAGCGAACCAAAGTATGGACCAGGTCAGCGACATATCTTTTCACCAGCCTGTTCGCCAGCCAGTCTATTCGACCACCCACCCATTCGCCCAGAAGATGCCGAAGCGGATACCCTTCTGGTCCTCGGCGGCCGGGTACGCCAACATGAGCGAGCCCTGGGCCGTCCAGAGCAATTCGGCGCAGACACCGGAGATCGCGCCCGCCGCGATCATGAAGCCGCCGGCATTAGGGTCAATATCGATGGCGCTGTGGACAGTTCGTCTGGCCGGTCGGTCAGTGACGCGGGGAGGACGCACAGGTAAGAGCTGATGTACAGGGCGTAGCCGCTGCTCCCAATGAGATGTGTGAGGCGCGGGCCAAGGACATTGTTGATCGAGCTAGAGGATCGCGGTGAGCACCCAGCGACGCGAGCACAGGGCGTCGGCGCACGCACCCGGCAAAGAAAGCGGTGAAGGCGAACGTCGCGTAGATGGCACTGCTGATCTCACCGCCGCCGCCAAGACCGTCGAGGGCATTGAACAGACCTGGGCCCCTGAAGCAGACGAAGCCGAGGAAGAAGCCCTGCCCATTCGCCCGCCCGCTCATCAGTTGGCCGACCCGCCACACCAGAGGTGTTCCGCAAAACTGATTGCTCCATCCACAAAGAAAGGCGATTTCGCGGGGCTGCGAGTAAGTGGGCGAGAGGGAATGGGAGTGGGACAAGTGGGCGAACAAGTCGGCAGGCGAGTGGGAGTGCGGGTGAGAGAAATCACAGGCGAGAGAAAGCGCGAGCAGGCGTGCAGGCAGACGGCTAGGCGGGAGTATGGGCGAGAGAGCGGGGCGAGAGCTAGAAAGCGCTGACGTGTGGACGAACAGGCGAGCGGACGAGTGGGTGAGAAGACAAAAAGGCGAGTGTGGTGTGCAAGGACAGGTTGGGTAGGCAGGCGAGCAATTGGTCGGGTACGCCAGTGAGCGAGTTAGCCGGCAGACGAGTGAGCTGGCAGAAGATTCAGTGTGCGGGCGGGCAAGACAGCGAGGACGACGGTGGATGAGTTCAAGTGAGTGGCCCGAGCACGCAGGCGTTTGAGCTGGCAAGAACGGGCGACCGACCGAGCGCGAGAGGGCGGGCGAACCACGTACACCGTGTGCCAACCAAGAAGACGAGGCGGGCAGGCAAGCTAGCAAGAGGAGTTTGAGAAGAGTGGACAGGCGGACAACCTAGCGAGACGGTGAGTAGGTAGACCAACCGTGACAGTGATGAGATGAGCTCAGCCTGGTTGTACGTATACGCCTATCAACGTTACGAACGTCTTTCTTCCGTTGAACTTGCATATCGACTGTTGAAGTACAGATGGACGTCACTAAGTAAGTACTCGCGATCGTACATACTGTACCGTATACAATGCGTGGGAAACGCGCTGTGCTCTGGCGCTAATGCAATTGTCAAAGCGCAAATGAACCGCGACCAATCCGCGTACGATATGCCTTAACCCTCGACCGTGATCACACTCGTTGGTAGGTGGACTTAGAAGCGGATCGCGCATTCTAGCTGAGCTGTTCTGGTATGCAGGCCATGAACACTCTCGGAAACGCTGAGGTCCGTATGCCTATAATGTTCGTCTCCTTCCTATTCCCATTCGGTCTCTTCGCATGCCGCGCCCAAAAGGATGGCTACAGCCGGTGAGTAACTCCCCTCGAACCCTTCCGTGGACATCTTACTGCCGCATGCTTACGTGTGGATATCTACACGAGGGCGAATTACAGCGCTGGAGTGCGCCGAGACTCAGCCTCGTGGGTTCCTCAGGCAGCTCCAGAAGACGCGCTTACGACACTACACCGGACCTTGTCGAGTACAAGAGGACCGCCGTTTCGCAGGACGAGCAAAGCGACGACGCCCATCAACCTACAATCCTACGTGATCAAGTGCCGGAAGTCCCGTCATTGCGCCCTACACCTTCGTTTCGGCCGCACACGCTGTGAATACGGATGATGTCGAGGCCGATACCATCCCTACTCACAATGTGTGCGCCGCACTTGGAAACATAGAGTAAGTCGTTGCCCGGGCCGCGATGTCTTCAAGGCATCTATTGTATTCATTCGTGTTTGAAGTCAGAGGCTGTTATACTCATATGGTTATACTTGTCGAAGGCCCCGACGACTGGCAGTACATGTATAGAAATACATGTACGGCCAGTCGTCGGGGCCTTCGACAAGTATAGCATCATTATTTCCGGTTTGGCACGGGCTGTGTTCGGTTACGAAAGAGTGGTTGTCGAGTTTGTATGCATATCTGTATGGCTCTCTCCTTACACGTTGCTGTCATTGCTTGTCTTTTACTTATGTTGTACCCGTAATCTCGGATTGAAATAGGCTGCTAAATGCAAGACACTTGACTTATATCTGTACACCGTGCTCGCTATCTATCTGAGCGCGTGTACGAGGGGTGCTTGACTGAGCGCAGTCGTGCAATCCGTACGCTCCCGCGAGAGGACTCTCCCGCGCAGACCGCACAATTTGGACGTCCACACCCGCATGCTCATGCGCGACCAATTCAGCATGGGCGCAAGAGCGGCCATCCAGTCTGCACAAAACGGACCCCATCATCAATTAGCGATGTATATGTCGGGGAAAGCTGGTCGAAGCCTACCACACGTCGGCCAGCACGCCGATCGCCTTCTGAGGTCGGTTGGCCTTCTTGAAGGATGTGGACGAGTCTAAGAGTGGCTCGCCCGATTCGATGACCCGCTGGAGCACCGAGTACAAGCCAGTCCAACGGACGCTTGGAGCAGAAGCCGCAGGCTCTTCACTCCACGGAGGTTGCCCTGTTGTAGAAGCGGAGTCGCTTCGTTCCTAGGGAGGCTAGCTCGAGTAGGCAGCCACTAGTACGAGCGAGCGAAGGGGCCACAGCCTTGGCAGGGCCTATGCTGAACGATCAATGTCTCTCTCCGTGACGCTGTCAGTGGTAAAGCGTACGTTGGCTGCTTCCCGGCATGATCGTTCGCAAGCACCTATGGTCCCGCTGAAGGCATGTGGTCACACCATGGAGTAGCTCCCATCTTACCCCGTCGAGCGTCCGTACCAGTGTCTTCTTGCAAGTGCAGGGAAGGTGAACACGCCGCTGCGGGGGTGCTGTGTCGTTCTTGTTCAACGGACAGACGGGCTACGGGGTCTGGCCATTCTGCATCAGTATGGCAGCGACAGGCGTCCAGCTGATCCTTGACCGCTTGTGCTTGTGGCCTGGCTACCAGCCATCGTCAGCATCAACATGCGTGTCGCAGCCGCCGTGAGTTGAATGCTCACTAAGGTCTAGGGTTCGCCGACGGAGCGCATTCTTGTTTCGGATGGCTTCGGAGCCACCTGTCGGTCGTGCGCTCCTGCAGCTAGCCTTCTGGCTGGTGTAGGCTGGTTAGGAGGAATGGTAGCGACGAGAGATGAGGCTGCGTCCGCGAAGAGTGTAGCGTAGCGTCGCCATTGCCGGGGAGGAGTGCAGGTAGTGGTCGCATGGCTGGAGTTATGGTTGTTCGTCGAACAGCGGGGCGTATTTATACGTGGGCAGAACGCCATTCAGGAGACAGGCCATAGGGGTCAAAGCGTGTGGCATCGCAACCAGGACCAGCGGACAGAAACGCTTTGTTTCGGCACACCCGTCATAAGTCAAAGCGTCATGGTTCTCGTGCCGTTTGTCTCCCAAATCTGGAAGATGCGCTCGAGTGGCCCAGAATGAAAGAGAATTGCGTAGCATGGGGCCACCCCAAGTATGCTTCCCGGTTGGGAATGGAAGCCACAGTCACCACATACCGCCCGGTATGGCCGCCAGGTACCGCGACGCCACTTGCACAGAGGCTTTAGCTCATAACCGAATGCTGGCCTAAGAGTGGCGGAAACATAAAGCGTTGGAAGGAGGCTTTACAGGAGCACACAGACCGTGGTAATGCTTCCCGAACCTTTAGCGAGGCTCCCTGAGGCCAGTGGACTCGGAACGACGACGACGACGCGACGGACTCGCAGGAGCCGGCGACGTGTACGTAGCCTGACGAGACCCACAAGGGTGCGTAGAAGTCAGCGATTACTAGAAGGCGCATGCGTTAACACACGTACCTGCTTGTCGATGCAATGACAAGGCTTTGGTTGGTCTGAAGGGCGTTGAGGTGGACGTGGGGAAGATGACGGATTGAGGGTGAGTCACCATTGAATCGGGCAACGATCTGCTCAGCCACAGACGCGTCGCAGGACCGCGTGTCTTCTGTTCTCTTGCGTCTGCCTTTGCTCTCGCTGGGCTTGCCGACAGCGTCGACATCACAGAGTCGCAATCGAGTCTGGGCTTACTTCTGCGGCGCTACTTGGTCACCTCGGCAGTGGTTGACCATCCGTTGAACCAGCTCGGGCCTCAGGCTTGCGTTATGCAAGGCTTGCGCGATCCACATCATGTAAGGCGGGAGGAAGCGTCAGGCAAAGCAGAATTTGATGTCAATTTTCATGCAATAAATCTATGGATCAGTGACGAGCGGGCCGTGATGTGTCTGTGCATGTGGCTACGCTGAAGGTGTCCGATCTCGCATACATGTTTTGCTCCGAGTCGTAGCCATGGTCCATACGGCTCTTCACATCGACATCTTCTGTTAGATACTCGCTGTGTGGTGAGACATACGGCTTAAGCGGGCGTCCGCAATGTACTCTAACACTACCGATCTGTTTCTTCCTGCGAGGAGCACACAACTCCGACAGAGAGACGTGTCAGCAGAGCCACCATAAGTTTACATCACCCCTAGACTGTCGTTTCGCGGCAAGTTCATCGTCGGAGTCAGTCAGATTCAGTTCCGGGCCGCTCTCGGCTGGCGGTGCCCCAAAGCAAGACGACTGTCCCGCCCCAGAGGCACCCCAGCGGAGGGAGGCCGTATGTTCCGATGTGTACCAGCGGGTCGGTCCCAGGCGACCGTTCCGTCGTGTCGAACACTCGATGCGCTTCTTGTTACGTCCATGACGAGTCTCGTTCTCGTCGCGTTGGACGGGTTTGTTTGAGACTACGGAACACGTGTCTGCAGGTTGCTCGGGCGCCTCGGATGTGGCCGCGAACGAAGTTTCGCTACTTCCACTCGCCGCGTAGATGTCGGACACGCCCCTCGCGTATGTCCTCGTCGACATGGGGGGTCTCGTTTGCCACTGAGCACGTTCCCCCGCGTCTCCACGAGCCCATGCGACTTAGGGTACATGACGTCGGCGGGCCGTTCCCTCGTACGCAGGCCATCGAAGGGGGTTCATCCTCGTGATCCTCCTTCACGAGCACCCGAAGAGCTGCGTCGCTCCGTCAGCGACCACTAGTAGTGCGTGGAAGTGGATGCAGCGAAACTCACCATGAGCACGGTCTCGGAGTCTATCAATGCGTCCGCATCAAAGGGGTGCCGCCGTGTGAGTGTACGAGGCAGAAGGGTTCATCCCTGAGCTCGAGCGCGCAGACCGCATCCTTCGAGCCACCCCCGCTGTCGTGGGGGATGTCCAGCGAACTCCCAGCGCAGCCGCGCGCCCGACCATGGGCCCGTTGGGGATCGGTTCGTGACCGGAGTGGTAGGTCGCTGCTATGTCGAACGCGGCTGATGTCGTGGGTGCGAGCTCCCGGTTGTCCGATGGAAGAATCCTCGG